GAATCACCCGAGGTGCTTTCCCAATTGCTGGAAGTGCCAGAAACAAGCAAAAAGCTGCCCTACCACCAGGGTGATGTTGTAGGATATTTAAATGGATATTTTGGAAAGACTAGTGCAGAGGCAAAAACATGATCCAGTGGTTTGGGCTTTGATTGAAATGCCTGTTCTCTCCTAGGCAGCCTGTGGAGATGTGGGAGAGTCACGCTCTCCTTATGCTTCAGAATCCCTTTTTATAAACACAGGATTCTTGCATTTTTATTGCAATGAGGAATGTGTAAACATGAGCGTGCCGAGATGTGCAGTGACAGAGGGAGAGGGACACACAAGTACTTTTTAAATGGTTGTGCTGGTTCAAAAGCAAAACCAGTGAGAGACTCCAAGTCAGACATACCATTTAATAGGAAAAAAAAGAGAAAAAATAAAATACATGCAATAGTACAAAAGAAAACCACTGATAGAGTCAGGATACAACCTGACACTGCTCTAGTTAGGGTGGTGGTAGCAGTCCAGATGAAGTGATCTTGTTGAAGCAGTGATCCTGTGGAAAGGTCTGGTAGCTCTTGTCCTCTGGAAACCAGTGGCTAAGGGCTGTCTTGGTGTTCCAAATCTCAGTTTTCATCTAGGTAGGAAATGCTTGGCTCCTCCCCCTGGCTGGAGCATCTCCCAGTGGGATGATGTCATTTTATCAGTCATGCACTGGGACTCAATGGCCCATTAACAGGGGATAGCTCCTGGAGAAAGGACGGGTTGTGGAAAAGATAAAAAACATTGCTTTAGCTGGTTTTAACAGATGGCCCATTAACAGGAAATATCTCCCACAGAGATAAAGATCACTGCCCCACCTGGTTTCAACAGATGCTGATAGAGTACACACTTTTGGGCACATCTTTACATTGTAACCTAGGATAATGGTGTCTGTGGAGCTGATCCTTTCCTTTGTGTACCTCCCCAGAAGCTGACGGCTCTCCCGTCTCGGAGATCGAGGGCCCTTTCACCACAGCAGACGTCGCCAGCAACTGCGTCTCCAGCATTTCCTTCCACGAGCCCGTGCTCTGGATCGCCTCCTACGCCCTGATGAGCCTGTGTGGGATCATCCTGCTGGTCCTGATCGTGCTGCTGCTCATCCCTCCCCGCTGCCAGCACCGCTACACGGACAACGACGTGGTCAACGACGAGTCCTCCCTCGTGCGCCACCGGTGGAAATGAGAGGCCGGATCCCAAAAACTGACTCAGAAACAGGGCCAAGGACAAACAGCTCTGCCAAGGAGAAGAAGCCAATGCCTCCTCAGTCCTTTCTACGTTCCTACAAAACGCTGTTGAAAATCCCACCAAATATCCCGCGTCGTGACTTTTACAGCTTTATTTTCTAACACCGGTTCTGAACCAAAGCACTGTTAAACACCTCTGAAGTGCTACGGTACTGGATTTGCTACTGCAGTACAGTGAGCCTTTATGCTCTCTACAGTACCTTCTTAAAAAAAAAAAAATTAAAAACTTTAAAAAAAAATAAAAAACCACACCATGATGTTCTTCCACTGTCTGAACAAAAATGCCCATCTCTCTTTCACACAAAAAAAGGAGCTGTCAGTATTTTCTAACTAATCGAGCCCTGACTGTAGAAAAAGAGAAAAAAAATTAATAATCTTTCTTATTAATTGCATTAAATGAATACTGCTTTCTGTTTACATCAGTTTATTTTGAAACTGTGCTTATGGTGTGAGGGAGGGAGAAAAGTCAGACTTAAGCAGCAGAGAAAAAGCAAGGGAGATCAAGAAGAAATGTTGGTTTATGGTTTCTTTCCCTCAAGATCACTGCTGCCACTTGAGAGAGTCTCCCTCCCTGAGACCTGCAACAAAATGGTCCAAGGTGGTGAAAACTGGGAAACAAACTTGTTCAGCCTTAGAGTAAAACAAGACTACCTCTCTTAATTTACAAGGATGCTACCACTGGTGAGTGTGTGGATTAGAACTGGTCTTGAAGCACAAAGATGCTCCATACAACCAAATGGAACTACTTGGCTTTGATTTTTTTTGGATTTTATAAAAATTAATACTTCATGACTTTCCACTTTGGTGCACAAAAAAAAAAAAAAAAAAGAAACCTTTCAGTTCCCCCCCCTCATGTGGGGTTTTGTTGTTTTTTTCTGAGTTTGATATTTAGAAAAGGCTGATCTGCATATGTACAGACAGACAAGAAAGAAAGGTCTGTGTTCTGCTGTATTTCTAGCGAGCATGTAACAAAAAGAAAAACCAAATAAGAAAGACAACCCTTTTTTTTTTTTTTTTCATTTGGCTGAGCTCAGCAACCTAGAAATTCAAAGGAGAAGTACCTGTCTTTATGGACAGGCTGTGAAGTGAAAGTCTTTATGCTGGCTTCTTTTTCAACTTGAGGTGTTCAGTTTGGCATCAATCAAATAAGAAGTGTGTGTGTCCTGGCTAAAAACAAACACGTGGTGGGACTGGAAACAATAGTGGAAGAGCAGAGCAGAATGTATTTGACCAGGCTTCCATTCTGCAAGTGCAGATCATCGTGCTGAGGTCAGAATGAGGTATTTTCTTTGCAGATAGGACAATTTTTCTTTTCTCTAGTTGCAGGCTTCTCTGTAACACTGGCCTGAGTGTTTGGATTGGAAAGATAAACAGTGCAAGGCTGAGGATTTTTTTTTAATACATAGAAAAAGGAAAAATATTCCTTTGCATTTTTATAGCAGAGCAGTTTGCATATCTGTGGGAAATGAGGGAAAAAAAAAAAAGCTTAGCTCTGAATTTCCCAATCCCTTGCCTAGACAATTTTCTGCCCAAAATCCCTTCATATAGCTCTGTGATTCACACTGCCTCTGCATCTGACTCTGCATGGAATAAGGAAAGATTTTTTTTTTTCAAGAATGGTGCATTTACAAGGTGCACGTCATGTGTGTGAAAATAAAACACTGTGGGGTTTGTTTTATTAACTAACTTATGTCTTTCACGTCATAACTGGAAGTGCCTATGGTTTTCTTTTCAATTCTTGCACTTTCAGATTACTTGGCTCAGTAGAGTAAAATAATTGATGCTGTGATACAATGTCTGAAAATGGTTTCTTGTGGAATTTGGAGTTGGAAACAGGAGGGGATTTTGAATTTTTCTCCTTCTTCCTCTGCCTCTTAGTTTTTAAGAGGAGAAGAATTGTGAATTACATAAGCCATAGAGCTTAGCTGTTTTCTCAGTGTTCTATTTTCCATTTCTCTTTCTTAATATCTTTTAATTAGATATTATTAATATAGGCACGTTGTCCTCCTGGGTTCAATTTTACACATAACAAATAACTTCAGAGTTCTATTCCTTCTTTTTCTACATCATGGCAATAGAAGTTCTGCTTCTGTCACTTGTTTCAAACAGAAACAAGGTATGGATTTTGGATGGATTGGGTTAAACAATAAACCCTCTTGCAATTCAGAAAGTGAAAACAACTTGTATACTTGTAAAAAGTTTCATCACTGCTCTCCTCAACTCAGAACCTCCTATCTCCTCACCACAAAGAGTTTTAGGAAGGTATTTACTGGGAAAGATTCTGAGTAGGCTTTTTAATCAGATTTCATCTGAGTGAACAAAGTCTTCTTAGTGCACTGGATTTCCTATTAAAGATTTAATATTACCTTTTTCCCTTTGAATGTCCTCGGTCAAGATATTTTAAGGGAAACACTTGAATAAAGAGGAGCAATAACCAAGTAGCACAAATGAAATGCTAATATATTCTTGAGTTTTCCTGGCATTCCTTCACACTAAAAATGTGGCTTGTAGTAAAAATGCTGTGAGTGGCACCTGTGAGCAGCACAAACTTCATCTGGGCTTGTAAATTGATACTTACACTGGCAGAAATTCAGGTGAGCATTGCTTTGTTGCTCTGGCAACAAGGAGAGCAGTGGAAACCCTGGTGGGTTCATTTTTAGCCTACAACACATTAAGAAAAATAATGCTCTCGGGCAGTTTTGTATAGAAGATGAAACACAGTGATAGACTACAATATAACCAAGTGTAGTCACTTGGTAACTCATAATGATCTCTCTCCCTGATATACTTCAAAAAATATTTATGTTGTGAGATAGATTATGCTCCTGTTAACCAACATCAGGTGTAAGAATAAACCATACCTTAAAAATAAAAGGAGGCAAGAGGAGTGGAAAAAAAAAACAGAGCATTGAGTAAAGATGATACTGGAAAATATTTATTATGGAAGACAGGATGCTCCAAATCTCAGCAGTCCAAACCATCCCTTGTAAGAAATATCAATATTTGTTGCTGAGCCAGCTCTGCTCTGATGGGGATGTAACACCACATCCCAGGAAAAGTGTCAGAAATCTGCGTTCCCCTGGCTGCAGCCTCGCAGGTAATTTGATACCATCGGTGCAATCGCCGGGGATTTGAAGGGCTGTGGTTTGAGTTGGAGAGGTTAAACCTGAGCCCAGCCCTGGGAGTAGGTTAATTCTACCCCGCTGCCGCCGCAGGTTTTAGAAATATTTTCATAGGTTTTTTGGAGCAATTTAAATGCTGAGGGAAACAGATGAAGCATTTTAATAAGGCTTTTGTTCAGACGCTGTAAAAGAAGTTATGTGGAGGGGATTGTTCCGTTTTTAAGGTGAAGTATTGTGTTTAGGATGTGCATGTTGAATCAGCCTAAATGCAGTGTTTCAAGGGGTTTTGGTATCTCTTGTGCTCAATAGCTGTAAAATTTATCAGCTAAAGTCAACCTATGAGTACCCAGTTCCTTGGTGTGTATTGGTTGGCTTTGTCTTGCTGAAGGATGAGCCTTTTGTCTACCAAGCTTTTCCTTTTAAATATTAAAAGGCTTGTGAGAGTTGCATAGCACAGCAACATTTCCAGAGACAGAGAGATCCTTAAATTTTCCAGTATTACAAAATGGTTGTGCTGCTGGAAGTTTCTTTGATTTCTGTAGGGATTTCCAACAACTGGGCTGGTGTTGGTTGTCATATCCTCATCTCAGACATGAATATAAATAGCAACATGAGCAGTGTAATGAAGGGCGTTAGTACAGTGACCTATGGAAGTGTAATTAAAGGGAATTACAGAAAGAAAAATAAATAGGATGCCTTTAGCTAGCTTCATTAAAAATTGCAAGAGCATAAGAGATTGATCCTTTTCAGAAAAGGCTGTACTGTTTACCAAGACATTAGTTCCTGTCAAACTTGACTCTCTGGTTGATAAATTGTTCATTTCTGGTTGCTGAAGTCCTTGCTGCTGTTGAGAGAAGTGAAGACAGGTTGGTAATGGGATATGAGCAATCTTCTGAGCCAGTCAGATTTGCTGGCTTTTGAGGCTTAATTAAATACTAATCCAGGCTTGTGAGTAATCCAGCATGCTGGTTATGGCTCTTTGGGACTGCTAGCAGAAATACTTGGCTTCAGCCAAACCCCTGGGTGAGATGGATCCAAAACACAAAAGCCACAGAGAGACAGCAGCTGCTGAGAACCTGCTGTAGGTGCAAAATCCAACAGTCCCCATTTCCTCTGGCAAGGCTCCACTCACCTCAATATTTTGGAAACCAGCACCCCAAGGTGCCTTTTGGTGCTACTGGGAATTATCCACCCCCAGGTGAACGCAGGGCACGATCATCTTTAGGCTGGATCATTGCCCAGCTGCTGAATATTCCCCTCTCCATGTACCAGTGCACACAATGCTCTTTCTCACCCCCAGCAGTGGCATTTGTAAGCAGCAGGACAGGAAATCACAAAATATGCTGATATCAGTGTCTGTGCAGTACTAATGTAAGAATGGATTGTATTTGGCTGGATCTTTGTGGTCAGGTAGTCTTTGAAATAATGGGAATTTTAGATTAGACCATGAAGGCACATACATAATTTGAGCTAGCCAAAAAGTAAAACACAAACGGCAATTTTTAGAATTTACAAAGAACTAGCCCTCAATAAGTGCTCTCTTCCTTTTTTTTTTTCTTTCCTAATTGATAACAAGCACTTAAAATAAATGTATTTTAGTATAGTTGCTATCCTGCTAATTTGCTGGTTGCAAATCTGATTTTTTTCTGATTTGTCTTCCAGGCCATTCACCCTTCCTCATTCCCTCCTCCCCTCCCCCCCTCACCCAAAAAAAAAAAAAAAATTGCAGAAAGATTAAGATCTCCATTTTCCAATTTCAGTTTTCTAACAAAAGATACATATTTCTTGTTTACCATTTCAAGCAGTTCCTTAACACTTTAAAAATGAACTGTAGGTTGAAAATACTTGCAGTGCCATTAGGAGAAGAATTGGAGCCAGAACTTTACCTGTGCCAATGGTCCTTGAATTTTACTGTGTGCCAAGAACTCCTTTGTGCATTTTACTATGTTCCCTGGACTTCTTTCACATCCCACTTGGAAATATGCCCTGGTCCTGTATATTCTCCTTTTTCTCCATCCTCAGGAAGTCCAGGGGTGGAGAGGAGGACCACAAGGAGTTGTAAAAGCGCCATCAATGACATCTTTTGTCCTATAAACAACTCCAGCTGAGCAACTGAGTTTGCTCTGATTTTTACAGCAATGTGTATTGAGACAAAACACTTGAATAAAGGAGATTGTTTGTAACAATCCTCTCATCCAGTCCCCCTCTGATGAGGGAAATTTTCACAGGGCCAAGCCAAACCTGCAAAGGGCATGTTTATTCCTCTGTTTGCAGAGAGGGGTTATAGAGCTGAATGTTTAAATGGCTTGGTTGTCCTTTGGAAAATTCTCTGGTTAAAAAAAATGGAGTTGAGAATGTTTAGAGGTAATAAGAAGACAACTGACAATTTCTAGATAGCACAAAGGTGTGGATTACTGCAATATGTGCTGGAAAAAATTGCCTTGCTAGCCAGCACTCTGTGTGTGCATAAACTATACAAAGTTCAGTGTTTCAGACTTACCTGAAATAGGCAGTTCACTTTTTTTATTGCAAGTTTTATATGGAGTTGCAGAGATCTTTTAAGGCTTTTAACACTACATTAACTGTTACTTGATAGATATTCAGGAAGTGTGGAAAGGATTTCACCTTTAAGGAAGTTATTCCAACTTAGAGAGGCATTGCTTCACCTGTTGTTTTGTTTTAATTAGACAATGTTTTTAACATTGACTGAAAAGAAAATGGGATCAAAATTTTGAAAAAAGGGGTATAGTCTTTCTAATTCAATCTTCAGGTTATGTTAGGATGTCTACCCCACTTACTGTCAAGCCTCATCACTCAATTTTCCGAAACTTGATACTTTGTACTTTCAGGTCTTGCCATTTTCAGATAAACACTATGTAAAAAATCAGATTTTATGCTGCATAAAATAAATGATTAATTCTTTCAACCTATTCTGTGTGTCCTTTTAAATCCTGTTAAGACGAACTTCAAAGCTGATGAATTTTATCCGTCCAAATTCCTCCTGTGACTCTCAATTCCAACTTCTGGCTGTGGCTCCGTGGGGAAAGCAGAGGTGCTGTAGATCCCATCTGACCCTGGCAGGATGGGGAGGCAGCCAAGTTTAGCTCTGAGGTGATTTTTTTTTCCTGGCTTATTCCCGAATCACAGACTGTTGCCTGGAAAGGCTGACCTGGAACAGAGACTAGGCAGAGCAAAAGGGATAAAATAGGTATTTATTGAGAGGATACACTTTGGGCAGTGCAACAGCCTGGCCGGGGCTACACCCAAATCAAATCCAAATGTAACCCGTCACGAGTTTTTACACGTTTATAAATTTTGGTTTATCTACATATTGGGGTCAATTATCCAACCACAGCCCCAGGTTATGAAGTCTCAGCCCCCTGGCTTGCCCCCTTTCCCTTGCCATTGTTTATGATTTTTGGGTACCAGTCGTCCTTGATTCTCCAGCTAGAAAGGAATTGTTTTGTCTAACTGCCCTGTGAAGAGAACTTACTAACACCTAATATGAAGTTTCCAAATTAAGCACTAAGCAGCAGAGATTCTGGAAAATATAAAAGCTAAGACCCGAGGAGTCAGATATTCCTGCTTCAGCCTCTCCTGTCCGTATGAGGCAGAATCGAGCAGAGATTCATGATGCCGAGAAGGTGAAGCTGCTGATGGTTCGGGTCACACCTGGGGCTGTTCCTGCCCTGGGATGCGATGGGGAAGGGACACAAATCCCTGTCCCTGTTCCCAATCCCTGCTCCGCGCTCTTTCCTCGCCAGGTGGAGCCCAAGGGGCGTTTTCCAACTCCGGGAGCCCTTGCAGCACTTTCTGGTTGTTTTTTTTTCCCCGAATTCCCTTTAAAGTTATTTTCGCTTTCTTTTTTTGAATATCCGACCTCAAAGGTCCTTAGCTTAGAGTTTTCTGATGGTTTATCATCTCCCTCTTCCCTCCATCTAAACGCCTCTTTTAAAAGTCCATCATTTTAAGCCCTGAGCATTTTAAAAGCACCACAGTGTATTTATTGTGTATGTTGTAAATTTAGGGTATTAGTCAAGTAGGATGGAGTGGCACCAACTGTTTAATATTTTTCCTTCGAAGCTGGCAGGTTTTGCTTATTTCTGTTCTGATATTCAACAAAGCTTCTCCATTACTGCCCCAGAAGTTGTGGATGCTGCATCCCTTCCAGTGTTCAGGTGTTGGATGGAGCTCTGAGCCACCTGTTCTAGAGAAAGGTGTCCCTGCCCATGGCAGGGGGTTGGAACTTTATGATGATTTTTTAAGGTCCCTTCAAAACCATTCCATCATCCCACTATTACACAGCCCTGCTCACAACTTTTCGTTATTTTTCTTGTGTTTAAACTTTCTTTATGCTCTTGAAATTGCCATCATCTTGAGAGCACCCTTCAGGCTCATTGAATCCAGAACTGTAAAGCTGTTTATTCACACCTGCCTGTCTCGGCCTTGCCCATGAAAACTGGCCTGTTTAGACAAAACAGCTTTTAAGTTTGTGTGTGAAACACAAAAGTAAGAATTTATTGCAAGAATATGTTTGTTTTTTTTATAATGACAGTGAAGTGTACACAAATACGTGAAGGTTGGCAGTGCAAGTGCTCTGTGTAATTTTCCAGTACAATGTGTCATTCTGATGGCCACTTAAACAGTAAACATCTACTATTCTTCCCTTTCTCCACCAAAACAAACTCTTTAAAAATAAATGGAATGTGGTTTCTATTTTTTTTTCTTTCTAGAGGCTGACAAGTACCACTTGCCTATACCTTGATTCATCATCTGTTGGGCTAGGGAATTCAATAGCATTTCCCAATACAGATTGTTGTAAAGAATACAGGGATCTGTGCTGCCAGTGCCTACACAAATATTGGAGCATTGGATTTTTATAGCTGTTAGCTAGATGAGACAGCTTTCTATGAATAAACAAGGTATTGTGATTCTTCAAATTCTCTCTTTTCATGCACCCAGAATTGTTCTGAAGTACTCTGAGTAGGAATACTATTTACTTTTCCCATGAGTGCTTTTTAATTGTAAATTTCACATTGCTTTCTGCATTCTTATTGAATGAGATTATTTTTATTGTTGGACAACTTGAACATTCTCTAGGCTGGGGGTTTATACTGATTTTTAGCTGCTGATTTATTTTTGACTGCTGATGTATCCATCTTCTATCTGGATGTAGTGCAGTTAAATATATTTTCCACATGTTTCTCTGGATTAAAAAAGCAGAAGAAAAACACACAAATTAGCCCCACCTTTGTGGGCCAGCAGTGCCCCAGACTCACAAGCTTTACAGGTTTTCCAGTTTATCAGCTGAAAGTAATCCATGCTTGCTTTTTGCCCTTGGTTAAATGATCCATTTTTGCATATCCTGGGGAAGGTGACTTTAATCCTGTATATCCACAAAAGAAGTATCTAAAAGTTCTCATCTTGTTTTAAGTATTTGCTCCTGAGTTTCATAAAGACAGTCAAGGTATACCAGGAGAAAAAAATAAAAAAAGAAAAAGGGGAGGGGGGAGAACCCAAACAAACAAAACCCAGAAAAAACAAACAAACATCAGCAGTAATTTTATTACAATAGATATTTACATCTCTATTTCTCTATGTTCCCCTTCATGTCACCACCACACAGGATGCTGAG